AGGCTCAAATAAACAAACTAATGTTGAACCTCAAGCTTCCAGAAAAAGAAGAGCAAGTCAAACCTAAAGCTCATATGAGGGAAGAAATTATAAAAATTAGAGCAGAAATTAATGCAATGGAGACTAAAAGAACAATACAAAGACTCAATGAATCAAAAGAGTTGGTTCTTTGAAAGATTAAATAAAATTGAGAAACCCTTACCCAACCTTATCAAAAAAAAAGGAAAGATTCAAACCACGCAATCAGGAATGAAAAGGGTAAAATCACAACAGATCCTATAGAGATCCAGAAGATCTGCAGTACCTTCAAGAACCTGTATTCTAATAAGATGGAAAACAGAAGAAACGGACAGATTCCTAGATACATATGAATTACCAAAACTGAATCAAGATACAGAAATTCTAAATAAACCAATATCAGCCAATGAAAATGAATATGTAATTTAAAAACTACCAACAAAGAAAACCCCTGGCCCTAACGAATTAACTGGTGAATTCTACAAGAAATTCAGAGAGGACCTAATGTCACTACTCCTCAAACTCTTCAATGAAATTGAAAGGGAAGCAATACTTCCAAATTCATTCCAGGAAACAAGCATTACCCTGATTCCCAAACCAAAGAAGGATCCAACCAAAAAGGAAAATTACAGGCCAATCTCCCTAATGAACATAAATGCAAAAACTCTCAATAAGATACTGGCAAACAGAATGCAGCAAATCATCAAGAAGAACATACACCATGACCAAGGTGGATTCATCCTAGGGATGCAGGGATGGTACAACATATGCAAATCAATAAATGTAATACATTATATTAAAAGACCCAAGGAAAAAAACTATATGATCCTCTCAACAGATGCAGAAAAAGCATTTGACAAAGTCCAACACCCACTCATGAAAAAAACCCTGCGGAAATTTGGTGTAGATGGTCATTATCTCAATCTAGTAAAAGCCATCTATGACAAACCAATAGCCAACATCATAATAAATGGACAAAAACTGAAAGCTTTCACTCTAAAATCAGGAACAAGACAAGGATGTCCACTGTCACCACTTTTGTTCAATATAGTTCTGGAAACACTAGCCAGAGCAATTAGACAAGAGAAAGAAATAAAAGCAGTAAGGATAAGAAAGGAAGAAGTTAAATTATCATTATTTGCAGATGATATGATACTCTACATAGAAGACCCCAAAAACTCCACCAAAAGACTTTTAGATCTGATAACCAAATTAAGTGGCATAGCTAGATACAAAGCCAACACTCAAACATCAACAGCATTCCTGTACACGAACAACAGGCTCACAAAGAGAGAAATTAGAGAAACAATTCCTTTTATTAATAGCATCCCCCCCAAAATACCTAGCAATCAATCTAACAAAGGAAGTAAAAGACTTCTACATTGAAAACTACAGTACTCTGCAAAAGGGAGATTGAAGTGGATTTCAGAAAATGGAAAGATACCCCTTGTTCCAGGATAGGAAGAACCAATATAGTGAAAATGGCCATACTTCCAAAATTGTTACAGAGATTCAATGCAACCCCAATTAAAATTCCAACAGCATATCTCATAGAATTAGAGAAAACAACCCTAAAATTCATTTGGAACCAGAAGAAACCTAGACTAGCAAAGGCAATTCTGGACAACAAAGGCAAAGCAGAGGGTATCACAATCCCTGATTTTAAATTATACTACAAAGCTATGGTGATAAAAACAGCATGGTACTGCCAAAAGAACAAAGCTAAGGATCAATGGAAGAGGCTAGAGGATGCAGAAACAACTCCAGACATAGTCAACCACCTTATCTTTGACAAAGGAGCCAAACACCATCACTGAAAGAAAGATAGCCTCTTTAATAAATGGTCTGGAAAACATGGCTTTCCACATGCCAAAGATTGAAACCAGACCTTTCTCTTTCACCATGCAATAACCTAAAATCAAAATGGATCAAAGTTTAAATAGTAAAACAGAAACACCAAATCTGCTGGAAGAGAGAATACATAGAATGCTTGAGGACATATCAGTAGGCAAAGACTTCATGAACAAAACCCAGACTGCACTGGAAATACTACAAAAATCGACAACTGGGACCACATCTTATTAAAAAGCTTTGGACAGCAAGAGAAACCACCAGCAGAGTGAAGAGACAACCCACAATGTGGGTTTACCAGCTATTCAAATAAAGGACTACTATCTAGAATATATGAAGAACTCAAAAAAATCAGACCCCCAAATTTAAAGACTAAATGCAAAAACTGGCATCTGAAATAAAAAGATACTTCTCAGATGAAGAATTAGAAACAGTAAATAAATCTATAAAAAATGTTCAACATCACTGGTCATTTATGAAATGCAAATTAAAACAACGCTGAGATTCCATCTCACTCCAGAAAGAATGGCTGTTATCAAGAAATCAACCAATAACAAATGCTGGTGGGACTGTGGGGAAAAGGAACACTTCTCTGCTGGTGATGGGAGTGTAGACTGGTGCAACCACTGTGGAAATCAGTGTGGAGATTTCTCAAGAAACTAAAATTAGAGATTCCATTTGACCCAGCTATGCCTCTTCTTGGTATTTTCCTGAAAGAATTAAAAGCATCGTACCACTGCAATATATGCACATCCATGTTTATAGCAGCAGTGTGTAATAACTAAATCTTGGAAACAGCCCAAATGCCCATCAACAGACGAGTGGATGAAGAAGATGTGGTTTTTAAATACAATGGAGTCCTACTCTGCCATAAAAGATGGGCTTGAGACATTTATAGCTAAATGGATGGACGTTGAGACCATCCTCATAAGTCAAAGAAATCAGACACACATATTTAAATAATGCATTGCTTCTCTGGTGTGAGAAACCAAAAGTGGAAATAAGGACTGAAATGCATAATGGATGTTGGGAAATGGGAAAAAAGTGTTCAAATGGGAAGGCGAACAAGGGAGAAGAGAGGGAGAAAGGAAGGAAGGGACAAGAAAAAAGGTGAGAATAGAAGGAAAAAATGGAAACAAAGCTTCTGTACATAGGGATGGGACTTGAGGGGAATAAGATAAAATAAAATTTATCTTTTAAAAAACTTTAAATTATTAATTTATCATTGATGTGCTGTCCATCTGTACTAAGAAAAAGAAAATCAGTATTGTGATTAATGTTAAAGGAGTCTAATGTTAAGGGAGCCTATAATTCCAGCACTCTGGGAGACTGAGGCATGATTGTGAGTTCAAGTCCAGCATGAACAATTTATAAAATTAGTGAGACTGTCTCAAAATAAAAAGGACTGGGATGTAGCTTAGTGTAAAAGCCTTGCATTCCACTGGAAGGAAAGGGTGAAAGGGAGAAATTATTAATAAAGACAAATAATTATAATTTATTAAGATCAATAAAAAAAGTATTAATTTCATGTTTCATGAATCTAAGATTATAATCATTCTATATTTTTTTAATAAAGAGGAAAATCTTTGCCCCTGCTCTACCTCTAAGTGGGCTGTTTCACCTATACCAGATTTAGCATATAAAAATGATTAAATGTCCCAACCATTAAATTCTAAGTGCCTTAGGTTAATTCTCAGGAAAATATTCTAGATTAAAATATTTTAGATTACAATGTTTTATGTTTTAGATTAAAATGCTTTAGAAAATATTTCAGATATATATTTTAAATATTTTCTTCTTTACTTCATAAATTATAAAAACTATCAAAAAAACTCATATGGAGAAACTATACACATAAGATTCAGGCTATTCATATAATTATCTAATTTATGGGACTGTAAAAGGAAGCCTAATATCATTTCTGTCACTTCAAGCAATATTATAAGCATTCTTTCAATATTAATCCTCCCATTACATAATAAAAGAAAAGTCAATGGTCTGAGGGCATAGCTCAGTGGTAGAGTACCTGCACATCATGCAGAAGCTCTAAGTTTGATCCTCAAAGGGAAGGAGGGAGGGAAGGGTGACAGTTAAGGTGAACAGCCAACTTGCTTGGCTTGGAAGCACAAAAGAGATTAGTAAAACACTCTTCTGGGTGTATGTGGCTAGGTTATGGAAGCATGATCCCTAGCCCCTTCCTCTTTTTCACTGTTCCCCTCCTCTGCTTCTGGCCACCATGAACTGTATTTTCCTCCACCATGTTGTTTCTGCCGTGAAGCCAACCATTCATGGACTGAATCCTTGAAACTGTGACCCAAATTAAACTTCTCCATTAAGTTATGGGTATGGGTATTATGTCTTGGCAACAGGAAAGCTAACTAATACATGAGGAAAGAAAAAAATGCAAATAGAACATTTTATAGATAAGTCTTTGGAGAAGGAAAATAAAATACCTGAAAGAATATGAAGTAAAGTTTGAGTGATGCTCATTCCTCAAAAGCATAGAAAATATCATTAACCAATACAGTACAAAAATAAACTCTTTCATATGTTTTGACTTCAACAGAAAATTATACAAATTTCAGTATTTACATGAATTGAGTATAACTCTCATCCCAAACTGAGCAAAATGCAACCAATCAGAGGAGCAGGTACCTTTGATTTACAATAATTATACTAATTAGGTATAGCTAATCTGTACTATTATGTTTTCCCACTCATAATCACGTGATATGCTAATGCTACCTTATATACTATATCAAAAGCTAAAATGAGGTATGCTAAGATTTTATCCTATTATTAATTTTTGAAGAAAGGAAGAACTACTGTGCTAAATAACTTAAAGTATCTCTTCTATACAGTGAAAACCATAATTTGTGCAATTTGTTTCTAAGTATAATAAAAAGGAAAAACACTAAAATTCCCCTATAAGTTTGTTAAGTTGATGGCAACATACTAAAATCTTGAAGCTCAGTTTGATACCCAAAGAACTATTTTCCTGTCAAGAGAAGTATAGTTGTATTCTCAAAATGATACTAAAACCTAACCTGTAAACAAAATGATGTTTAAAGGGCTCAGACCACTCAATACTGAGTGTTAAAACTGTATCTTTAAAAAAAAAATTCACTCACCTTTCAAACCTAGAGTTTGTAGCTGGAAGAGCCGACCAAGTTCATAAGGCAAAACCCGTAACATATTGTGATTTAAAAGCAATTCCCTGTTTAAAAAAAAATTGTTTTAATACACCAATCTTTATTAATACATATATTTGCCATTCTAATCCTTTCTTCTAACATGAGTGATGCTTACAATCAAGTGAATTCTCTATGCTGATCCAAAACTGCTGTGTACTACAGCATTAAGGTACTACAGAATGTGTAACTGTCAGAATTTTTAAGTGTTTCTATAATTTACTTATCCTCTAGCACAGATTAAAGTTAGAGATAAGAAAGTGCACATGTCATTTTCAATCTAAATCTGTCCTCTTTGCTTTCTAACCCAAAATGCCTATCAGATGTGACATATCAGCATCAAAGTGACATATCAGTATCCAAAGACACAAGACAATAAGCAAACTCGAGCTTAGTTCAATTTATAGGAGAGTAAGTTTTTACATAATTTTTAGGATTAAACTATAATTAGCAACCTAATCACCTGCATCTTTTCTATAACTGATTACAAACACTAGTCATTTCAAAAGAAGTGTAAAAACAGAAAAATACACAAAAACAAAATTAATAAAGAACAAGAAGTGAGTTACTTGGGTGTGGTGGCCCATGCTTATAATCTCAGCACTTGGGAAGCTGAAGCAGAGGAATCATGAAATTCCAGGCCAACCTGGACTATATAGTGAGACCTTGTCTCAAAAAAGTTAAAGAAAAAAAAAAAGGACTGGGCATGGTGGCTCATGTCTGTAATCCCGATATGCAATACTCTGAGAGGCAAGGCAGGAGAATCACGAGTTCAAGTCCACCCTGGACAACTTAGTGACATAGAAAGACCCTGCCTCAAAATAAGAAAAGAGCTAGGGATGTAGCTTAATACAGAAAGTCCTAGGTTCAATCCCCAATACTGAGGAGGGAGAAGGGGAAGAAGAGGAGAAGAACAAGGGCAAAGAGGGGGAGAGAAGGAAAGGAGGAATATAGAGTGAAGGGGATGAAGAAGAGTGGGCAGGAGGAAGTGTATCAGGAAAGTAAAATATAATGAAAAGACAAAGAACTCTCATGAACAATCAGACAGAACACAAATATTAAAGCACAGGAAATATATAAGAAAAGGATAGCATAAAAAAGGTCTAAGTTTATAATTGTGAAATTCTAAGCAGACTACAAAAAAATTAAGAGCACTTTCATTAAAAGATGATCAAAAAGTTCTAAAACAAACCAGTAAGGGGATGGTAAAGAAAAGTATGTTTATTTACTGCTTAACAGATAATGCAGAAAGGCAATTCTTGTTTTTATTGGTAACACTTATATATGGTCCTAAGATTCCTGCAACATTTTATCCTATGAAAAAAAAATTTTATATCTTCAACAAGAAACAAATCTATTTTATCAAATTTTAAAGTTTTCTTAATGAGTTGTAATATAAAATATAAATATATAATGTCTTATAATGGGGATATATTCCTCTAAGCTTGGTTTACAAGCAAATCCTATCTTTTCCCAATTATTTCTGATTAGTCCTATCAGAGACGAAGTCAAAATGAGACTCTTAACCTTACCCCACCTCCAATCTGTCAAAACTGATGATAGGAATTTCCAAATTTAAAGGAAATGCTCAATGAAAGTCAACTCAAGAACTGTGCTTACAGCGTTTACATCATTTTATTGTCACAGACACATAGAAATATCGCTGTAAAAAGAGTAACATCCCATAATTTTCTTATTTGGTAAATTTAGAATTTTATGTAATGAGTCATGTCTATAATATTTCCTCACCTGAGAGACACCATGTTTCCTAGTTCTGCTGGTAAACTTCTGAGTTTATTGGATGACAGATCCAGGTAAACCAGATTATGAAGCTTGGCAATATCAGGTGGAATGCGACTAAGGTAATTGTCATTTAGGTGCAGCGCTGTCAAGTGTGTCAATGACCAAAGTGATGTACTTAAGCTCCGCACTCTACCTAAAAGGCAAAATATTAAAGCATAAAAATTTAAAGCCCAAGACAAAGGTTGACCTGCAAGACTAAAATGTAAAAGAAGCCAGGTATGGTGACGCACACATGTGATCCCAGCACTCAGGAGGCTGAGGCAGGAGGGTCACCAAAAGTTCAAGACCAGCCTGGGCTACATGGCAAGACCCTGTCAAAAAAAACAAACAAAAATAAAATAAAATAAAATGTAGAAGAAACTGCAAATAGATACTGTATCTTTGACATTTTAACTTAAGGTCATATGATTGCTTCTATACAAACCTGGTCCTGATTTTATTTCATGACACTTTCACCTAATAACCACTCTTTCTCATGGGCCTTCTATGTATTAAATGACTTGTGGCAAGCCAGGCGTGGTGGCACACACATGTAATCCCAGCACTCGGGAGGCTGAGGCAGGAGAATTGCTGTGAGTTTGAGGCCAGCCTGGGCTACACAGTGAATACAAGGGCAACCTGAACTACACAGCAAGAACCTGTCTCAAAAAGCAAATGCATGGATGGATGGATGAATGAATGAGTTGTGCAAAATATAAAGACCTTTGGAGTCTTAAAACATGGGGCTGGATTTGGTTTTGTGGAAGAATGGTCTTAATTTTACTTTTAAGTCATATTCCTTACAAAAGTGTTTCTCACATGCTCAATAAAAATTATTAGTGCAAGGTTTATCTATATCCAGGGCCTAGGTTAAACTACAGACTTTAAATAGACAAGAATAATTACTATGATTTAGAACCAACCTTAGATTGGCTATCAGGAAAACCACTGTGTCCCCAAAAGAGACATCATTTCTCAGCTTTCTGGTGTTACCATTAAAGACTCACAACTCTGGTTTAAGATTTTGCATTAAGTGCAACATATTCAAGTAAACAATCACAAATCAAGCTGTGACACCCTAGGCAGAAGATGCATTAAATCAAAAGATCTGTGTCAGGGTCTTGATTTTTTACCACTGATTAGCTATATAAATTCAAGCAAATCACCACGTAGTCTCAGCTTCCACAAAATGGGATCTTATCTATCTTACATATAATAGTATTAATTATACAAAATAATTATATTAAAATCATCTTATAAATTTTACAAAACTAAAGTGTTTTTTTTTTAACTGTGTAACAGATTTTGATGACCAGGGTAGTGGAAAGTAGAGGACACAAAATCTCAAAGGGGAAATGTTACTTTTCATATAGCTATTGAGGAGTAAATTCAACTCTTCTTTTTTCTAATAACAGATTTAAAAAGATAAACACTAGTACCTCAGGATCCTTGTATTTTTTTAGTCCATCTAATCAAAAATTTACAGAAATATAACAATACTCTTTGTTACTACTGACATCCCTGATCAAATGCTTTAGATTTCACTCACCCGAGATTTCTAATTCTGCCCAGTGAGATTTTTTCCCATTGGCTACCTCCTCTGCTGACATGATGGTATAAATTCTGCGAGGATCTGGAGGATCATATTTTTCCTTTGGCATCCCTATTAGTCTGTGGGGGGAAAAATCAATTATTATAATCTTACAGAGGAAATAAGAGAAAATGAGACAGCAAGTTTCCTTTTTCTTTCCCATTACCAGGCTAGTAAGTCATTTAATACCACAAATTTTCTCTTGAAAACATATCGTCTACAGTACAATAAGCTCTTGAAGAAATTCATTAACAGACAGCTAAGAGAAAATGCAACAATAAAAAAAATCTGTGGCCCTAGACTATGTAGTAGACACTTGAACCCCTTTCCCTTCGTTTATTTACACTGCTTTCTCAGACAGACTGATCTTACAACCAGTTTCCTGATGGACTCAAACTAGTCTAAAAGAATGAGATATTTCTATCCTCCTTCCCTTGGTGATATCCAAATGTCCCAATCAGAATGACATTCCCCTTGAAAGAGATTAGTTCAAAGGTATCTAAAAATCACAAGGCCTCAAAACTCCTCTATGTTTATTGGAGAAGCAGACTTCTCTCCCCTGCTGGTCATAAATGAAAAAATATAACCCATATTACTGTACACAGCCATCCAACAACTATAAAGGAAGCAAGCCAGAAAAGGCAGTCTAGAAAATAGAGAAACAAAGCTAGAGACCTCACTGAATCACACCTATAGCACTCCCAACCAAGCAAACATACAGTATTTCCCTTATTAAGGTAATCTGAGTTGTATTTTCTGTTATTTACCTTAAAAATATCCTAATTACAGTGACTGCATAAATTCTTTGCCAATTTTGATTTATATCTGTTGTGCTGAGGTAATTATTAATATTCTTCCCTTTCACTCTCCAGAATATCCAACTGGGTGAGTTACATGGCCATTGCACTAATTAAAACTAGTACTAGACAGTCTTCTTTACAGTCATAACACAATCATCAACGATGACCAACTGAGACTTAAAATTACTATGAATGAAGATGACAAATGGTCCTAAAAGTAATCTCATTCAAGTGATCCAATACAAGAAGTGCTTTGATAGTAGGCAGAAAATAAAGTCCACTTTAGATTTACTAAAATGAGTTCTTCAGCCTACTTGAATTCCTACATACTATTTATAAATTGCCACAGTGTTATAGTTGGTTCTTTGCTCATACTTTAACACAAACAAACACAGACACCCCAAAACCAGTTGCCTGAATCTGCAAGTTATTTCTAAGTAAAGTTTAGAAGTAATACAGGACTCGGTGGTAGCAAACCTATGGGATGCGTGCTGCAGCAGCACACTGTTTGTATCACTGAAAGCTCTAAAAGGTTCGCCATAACTGAATAAGTGATCTGAAACTGCTACCTATACAGAATATAAAAGTAATACTTTATCATATACCAAGAAATCAACACATGTTGATAAGCATATAATCAAAATTTCCCATACCATAATTTTTCCCCATATTTTGAGAAGAAAATAGTCACATCTTTTCTTCTACTTAAAGGGGCAAAGAGACAGTTTTCCAGGTACGTCCACCTTATAACAGTAATTAGTTTCAAAGTTTCCACATCAAGTTCTTCAATTTTAACCTTACACAGTTTGGGTGATACTAAACTGTATTTTTCTTCAATGTCTTATAAATTTACATAGAACAAAGAAAGTGGTCATTTTCCATAGGAGGAAAACTTGTTTCTTTCATTCAACCTATGTAAAATACTTGTGAAAACAAAATTTATAGGTAACTAAATTTTTAGAATTTCTACTGTACACTATAAGGGATGTGTCTATATATGTGTGTGTATCTCTCTCTCTCTCTCTCTCTCTCTCTCTATATATATATATATATGTCTATATGTGTCTCTGAGGGTATTTTTACACACTAAGAGTATATAAAAAACAAAGGTGAATCAAAGTGCAGATCTGGACCCAAAGATATTCTACAAAATCCACTACCTACAGTCAGGATTTTAAATTATTAAATTTCTAAAAACATAGGTTTCAAAAATTTTAGATCATTTTTATAAAACTAGGACCTATTAGAGTCTATATTTCTGGTGATTGTTACTAAAACACTTATGTATGCTATTAAAAATGTAGAGAACTCAAGTGCAGGAAATTAGCATTATTAATGCCTTTTGGTCATCTCTATTTTCCCCTCCTAGGTCCTCAACATCAATATGCCACCTTGCAGGTATTACAAATACCTATTTCAAAATAATTTAATATATAAAATAGTCCTTCAAATATAAATCTCTAAATGTGACCCTGATAACACAGTATCTAATAATCTCACATACAAGCCAGAACTGTACAAGGTTTAAATTGGAGTGATGAACACCTTGTCATCCAAGAAATAGAAATGCTTTATTTTAGAAAACCTAGCAGCTAATTCCATTCCTTATCTTCTTTTCAACTGATAAGGCAAGCTTTTGCAATGCTGGGGATCAAATCCAGCACCTCATCTACCCCTAGACAAGCTCCACCAATGAGCTGCATTCTTAGCCCTTAAGGCTAAGTTTCTGGATTAGTTTTTTCCAAGAGTTCCCAATCTCTACATCTTTTGGGGGGGGGG